ATATTCAAGCAGACAAATATACTGGCAGATGTTTGACAGATTTCACCCTTAACCCTCATGGTGTTAAATGTGAGCAAGGTAACATTTATGAAGGGATTCAGGGGAAAATAGCAGCCTGGACTCCAGTCCTGGAGATTGGGGAAATACAGTAGAGTGTTTGCACTCAGGAGGGATGTTAATGTTGCAGTTTTATAACTGTAGTGTAAGCACACCTCTGGCAAGACAGTGATGGAGTGATGAAAGCTTTTATTTTTTTGGGCCTCAATACCTTGGTGGGAGACGGCCAATATGTTAAAAAAAAAATAAATAAAAAATATCGTGAGTCTAATATGAGTATATGCTAAACAACTGTCATTGAATAAGTAAATAAATAATTACTGTAACTATAAATACTTTATTGAAAGTAAATAAATGAATAAGTTACAAACTTTGTGCTGGGTAACTATCTTGTGCTTCATCTCCAAAGTAATTAATTGCTTTTGAACCATCATAAAGCCAAAGTATTGTAAATCAAACCAACGCGAGTCGAGGAGCACCTGTATGTTAGTTGTTCAACGTTATAATCGGCTGCAATGAAGATTTCATACATTTATTTCAGAAAAGAAGAAAAAGAAAAAGGTGAAGGAAGTTGAAGAATCAGAATACACAACCTATGAAAACCTACAACCTGAAGAACCTGAGGAGTGTAAGTAGATTTTATTTAGAAGCAGCAAAAAATATTTTATGTGAATTTTGAAGTCCTATATCATGAGGCCTCACTAGTGAAGTATAGAGCTGTAAAATAACTTTTGGACTTCTGTTACTAATACTTCTTGAGATAAATCAAAGTAATGTTAGCCTAAAGTTGGATAAATTTAGATTTAGAAAGGACATATGTAAGTACTGGTTCTCTAACAGTCATGGATGTGTAGAGCAATCTTCCCAGTAGGGTGATACAAGCTAAGCCCTTGGGTAGCTTTAACCCTTAAATGCTCGAAACAGATCAAAGTTCAAATTCATAGTGCTACAAAAGTAGATCTACTTTTTTTTACATACTTCCAAATATAACAAAAATGTAGATTAAAACTTTTTACACGTTTTCAAATGTAAAACCAAAAAAATCTACATTTTTTTATATGCTTTCAGATGTTGAAAAAATGAATATACATTTAAACCGTTTCAGGGTTAAAAAGATTGGACAAATATATGAGTGGGAGGGGCTGGGTTTAACTGGTGTCATTGGGTACGAGAGTTAATTCTTGGGTAGCTTTGGGTAGAGGACGTTTTGATAAGGACCTGCCTTGCATGGGCCAGTAGGCCTTCTGCAGTGTTCCTCCATTCTTGTTTTGATACGGTACTGTTAAATATAAAGGTTTGATAAAAAACCATCATACTGGTTTATAGATTGTTTGCATTGCCAATTAGTCTGCTGTAAAATTTTTAATTAGTTCCTAAATGCCCACTTTGTAAGTGCAGATCACTTAAAGAGGTAGTGTCTTGATACCAGTGAAACACTGTTGATTCAAGAAATTAAAATACCCTCCCTTTCTTGGAATTTAATGTCTGCCATCACCAAGGTGCTGTGTGACCCTTAATATGGTGGTCGTGCATAAGAGAAGTCGGAGCAAAATGATTCTTTTTTAACCCTTTCAGGGATCAGGAGCTCTGTGGTCAAACTTGCTCTCATAGTTGGAAAAATTTAAGAAAAAGTACTTTCTTGTGAAATGGTGAATTGTTTTCTGAAGATAATAAAACAGTGCCAAATTTGATGGAAAACTGACAAAATTATGCCTTTTGCAAATTTTGCTGTTTCGGCGACACTTGCACAGTGGCAGTTTTGCTCACTCGAGTCCATTTTTTGGGCCAATTACAATATTCCAGTCTATCAGATTCTTAACTGTTTTGCTAGAATGCCTTCCATTCCAACAACTGTATAAGAAACCACCCATTCAACTATTTAAACTATGCAATAGTTACTTGGCAAATTTCACAAAAATTTCAAGAAATACCAATTTTAAAAAGGGGTCCAGAATAAACATTGCAAACATTCCTAGCACTAAAATAACATTTCCTCTTCATTAGTTAGGTCCCCAGAGGCCTCTCTGATAGTACATGTGAATTCCATTTAGAGTTTTTATTCACACAAAATAGAAAATTTGCTGTTAGATTAGCGCATTATTGTAATAACTGTATAAGTAATGTCAGTGCAATCCTAAAAGCATATTAGACTGGACAGATGGACACAGTGGACAAATGATGTCATTTGTGTACTCTTGGACATCAGCAAACATAGAACATTCTGCTATTTTTACCTCAATTTCAAGCTTCTTTTAGTCTTGAAACTGATCAGAATCATGTTTCTATAATTTTTTCCATTCTATCAAATGAGGCCAAGAAACTGATAATACAGCCATAAAAACCACATGAAAATATATTGCAAAATCACTGCTTTAAACCAAAAAAAATTTTTTCCCCAAAGTGCAGTGCTTGCTGCAGGATTTTTTAGTATGGTGCACACTTATTACATAGACCCATTCTCTCATACCTAGGCCCAAATTTACTACTTGCTGCTCATCTGAGTGAGCTAAACTCATGGCGTAGAACTACGGGACAAACCTGGACTTCAATGCCATAGAACACTGGAACCCACCCTCAAAGCAGTTAAAAATTAAGTTTTTCTGAATAACTCTTAATTTCACAATGCTGTTGAAAATAAATGATAGCAAATTATTTAACAAAGCATCGGTATCATTACCCCCCCATGTTGCATAGCCTTTTTAGGGATTAAAATGTATTATCCAAATAGTTCTTTTTATAATCTCTTAATAGAGATTCTGTTGTGTAGCAATTTTGAGAATTTACTTTTAAGAAGCAATGTACAATTTCTACACTTTCATGCAAATTTTATTTTCAGTATTGCCAAAAAAGAAGAAAAGAAGAAAAGGAAGCATGAAGAAAACTGGGAGACGACTAACTTAAGCATGGACAACCAAGAGGATGTTGAAGCAGAGAACCAGATAATGGAAACAGCGGTAAAAGAAAAGACGAAGAAAAAGAAGAAACACAGGTTAGAAAATGAGGTACAAGAAGAAAATGCTGGATTTATAAAACCTGAAGAATGTAAAGAAAAGATGGTGAGTACTGCCAGTTTATAATACTCGATTATGGATTAAGAAAAAGGTCTCGGCTATAACATTTGTGTAGCCCATTACAGAAGGGCCTTGCTTATACAGTAGGTTTAGATTCCAGGCTACTGCTGTAAAGTGAAACACCTTTTTTTTTTCTCTCAGATGCATGTAAAAGCCTGAGAACATGTTTACACTGAGCAGTAGTTATGCCTAAAAAATACATATACAGTATACACATTACTGTTTTTTTAAACAAGTCGGCCGTCTCCCACCAAGGCAGGGTGTCCCAAAAAGAAAATCGCCAAAAAGAAAATACTTTCATTATTCAACACTTTCACCTCACACACACACATATTCACTGTTTTTGCAGAGGTGCTCAGAATACAACAGTTTAAAGTATGTACATACAAAGATGCACAACATATTCCTCCAAACTGCCATATCCAAAACCCCTCCTTTAAATTGCAGACATTGTACTTCCCATTTCCAGGGCTAGTCTGGCTATATAAAATAACCAGTTTCCCCGAATCCCTTCACTAAATATTACCCTGCTCACACTCCAACAGCTTGTCAGGTCCCAAATACCATTCATCTCCATTCACTCCTATCTAACATGCTCAAGCACGCTTGCTGGAAGTCCAAGCCTCTCACCCACAAAACCTCCTTTACCCCCTCCCTCCAACCTTTCCGAGGACAACCCCTACCCCACCTTCCTTGCCCTACGGATTTATATGCTCTCCAAGTTATTCTACTTTCATCCATTCTCTCTAAATGACCAAACCACCTCAACAACCCCTCTTCAGCCCTCTGACTAATACTTTTATTAACTTCACACCTTCTCCTAATTTCCACACTCCAAATTTTCTGCATATTTACACCACACATTGCCCTTAGAGAGGACATCTCCACTGCCTCCAACTGCCTCCTGACTGCAGCATTTAAACCCAAGCTTCACACCCATATAAGAGTTGTACAAGAATGGTATACAATACCGACAAGATGAAGTTAAGACGTGCAACATCTGGGTATCTTCATTGTAGACTTTTCACCATCCAGTAGCTTTATCAATACAAATTCCAGTTGACCAAACTCATAGCTATTTCTTTAGAACTCCATTTTATCTATCAGCTGAGTAAAAGAAACCTCCCATTTACTAATTTGGACTACCCAATATGGTGGTCAGAAATTGGCAATTTGGCCAATTTCACGCAAAATAAAAAAGATGCCAATTTCAAAATAGGGTCCAGAATAAACAAGTTAGACATTCGTGGCACTAAAATAACATATGCTCTGTTCATTAGTCACATCTCTAGGCCCCTCTTATATTATTATTGCTTTCTATTTTGATTTTTTATTCATACAAAAAAATACAAAATTTACTGTTATGCAGACGACTGCATTATTGTAAAAATGGTATAAATAATATCAGTGCACTAGTGAAAGAATATTAGACTCCCCAGTTGACGTGTATTGGACGTGTGGTGTGATTTATTTACTCTTGAACATTGGTAAAAATCGAACATTTCCGCTACTTTGAGCTCAGTTTCAAGGTCGTTTTCATCATAAAAGTAAGGAAAATCATCTCTATTTCTGTAATATGTTTTCCATTTTATCACCTAAGACCATGAAAACGCGAATACAACGATAAATACTATACGAAAATACACCTCAAAGTCGGCGTTTTATTCCAAAAAAACGATCAGTTTTTTTTTTTCTCATTACGCAATGTGTGCTGCAGGATTTTTTTTATGTGGTGCACACTGACCACACAGACCCATTCTCTCACATGTGGGCCTACCAGCTTTCTCCCACTTGATTTGAAGCCGCCAGAATTATTGAGTATATATACGTCAGAAACATTGGCTCGTAAGACGTATTTATACGTCGAAAACAGTCAAAGGGTTAAATAACATGAAGGCACAATTACCCCAGAAGGATAAAAAGAGTTACAGCACAAGACTCAAAGACATCGATTGGGAAAAAGCGGCATTTGGGAATTTTACAGCTGGTGACTGTAAAAGTCATTTTGGAGAAATTTTAACAGGGATTAAATCGGTGAAGTGAGTGAGATGTTCAACTGAATATTGTAAATACTTTTTTTTTTTTTTTTTAAGCCTTCATAACATAGCAAATAAGCCACAATTTGGAAAAGAAACTTCTCATGTTTCACTGCCCTAGCTGCTGTCCACTACTGGCTGAAATGTTGCTTTAAGGTTTCTCTCACATTAGGGGTTGTTTGCAGTTTAGTTTACAAACACAGTACTTGGTGCTCTGGCTAGGGCATGCTACCTAGAATGATTGTTCAATGATTGCTTCAATGTTCAATGATTGCTTCAATGTTCAATGATTGCTTCAATGTTCAATGATTGCTTCAATGTTCAATGAGAGCAGTTTTGTATTCATGAAGTCCATGATGAGTGGTACTTTGATACTATTTAAGGGATCTTGATTTCAAAAATTTGGGATACCCTACATTGAAATTGCTTCCCTCACCCCAGGCATTGTAACCCCTTACGGTTTAGTGCTTTCCCATGCCCTATAATCCCTTTGCTGCTCAGTTCCTGTCAAATGCTTATTTATTTTTGTTAGGACACTCGCCATGGTTTTGGATGAGGTTACAGAAAAACATGACAGAACTCGACTTAAAGAAGAGGAAAGTCTTGTTACCTTTTTCATCGTTTCATGAGAGACAATTCAGATAGAAGTCATAAGAAGCAATTCACCAATGGGGTAAGTTTTCCCAAGACCTGAGTTCATTATTTCTGTAAACATATTTGATTTACAAGGGGGAATTTAAGGTCTCAGTCTGCTTAGTTTTAAATGACATTGGAAAAAGGCTGTCTTATCAACTTTTAAACATGTATATGGAGTCGGCTACCATTTTTTTCATTGTCCAATTTTTTTGCTGCTTTATCATTAGCACTTTTTTTATTATAATAGTTCTTTATTTGCTTAAAAAATGATAGATGGTGGTGTAAGGGACAATTGAAGGTCACTTTAAGTAAAGAGAGCTCTTATTTTGTTTTGCCCACGGTGAGGCTTCATAAAAGTTAAGTAAAACATTAAACCCAACACATTTAAGATTGAACCCCTACATTGTGTGAAGCACCAAAAATTTAAACAGCTCGGTGGGGGCATTTTCCAAGTTTTTTTTTCTCCTGCAATGGTATATACCTTTCAAGAGTTTAGTGTTTCATTATCGGAGCCCAGCCTTGGGTGAGGCTCATCTGGTGCTTGCCTGGTCAACCAGGCTGTTGCTGCTGGAGGCCTGCTGCCCCACTTATCGATCACAACCTGGTTGCTCTTTGGCCCTAGAATCTTCTTTTGAACATAATGAGCCAAAAACACGAAATTTGATTTGGAAAAATTTTTGGAAGTATGCTGGTGAAGGGGTTGCAGTCTGGGTGGAATTTATACATTGTGATTTTTTGCCCACTTTGAGTTCTGTTTTTAGCTGTGTTATTTCTTACTTGATCCCTTTTCTTCCGTTCTATCGACTGAGCACAAGAACCCACTCATTCAATATTAGAACCATTTATAAATGCCCCAGAAGTCAGTAAATCAGCCAATTTTGCACAAAATTAAAAAATTCAATTTAACCCTTTCACTGTGTTGCGTATATATGTTATTGATGCCAGAGTTGCTTACGTTGGTCTGTGGTTGAGCTCAGCTCACATAAGCTTTGAATGGTAAAGTTGAACCCATACATAAGAAAATGAACCTGCGTGAGTGCAGGTATAAAAAAAAAATCTGCCCCCTGCAGTGCATGATGGGGGGAAAAGCCAAACTGTAGTCTTTGATCATATTTCCCGCATCCCAATAGTATTTGAATCGGACTGGGAAGGTGTAAAGGGGCCTTACCTGTCCCTCGGAGAAACCCCCAAAAATTTAAATTCTCCTATTTGAGCTGAATTAAGCTACTTCCTGTTGTAAAAAAAATCGTTTTCTGTATTTAAAATTCCAAGAATCGAGCAATTTAAACCCACAAAACCCATCCATAAGGTGTGTTTTAAACTAAACACAAAGTTGATTTTGCTTTGCCAACATGCACGTGGGGGGGAAATTTTGTTTTTCAAAAATGTAGGGGTTAAAGTCTGAGTGAGTTAGGAGTAAATGGAGTTTAAATTTGTTTGTGGGACCTGATGCACTGTTGGTGTGCGAGCAGGAAAACATTTTGTAAAGGGATTCGGGAAACAGTTTAACCCGACTTGAATTCTGGAGGTGGAAAGTACAATGCTTCACTTTTAAAAGGGGGTTTTTGGGTATTGGCTGTTTTGGGAAACATCTAAACGTTGTACAGAGTGCCTCTGCAATGGTGATTATGGAAAGATGGTGAAAGTATTGAAATTTGGTGACAGTTTTTTTTTTTTTTGTCACCCGCCCCGGTGGGAAAAGACTGAGGGTATCATGGGCTGGGCTGTGTGGGTATTGCCCTAAAAAACCCTCCAGGTATACTCTACCTTGGAATGGACCGTATTTAAAAAATTTTTTTTTTGTAGTCTATTTGTATTTTGCTTTCTCTGATTTTTTGCTTTTTTATTTTAATTCGAATTTTTTTTATAGGGGAATGGTTTTGTAAATCGGCTAAAGCTTTGGGAAATATTTGGGCCTTTAGGGAAAAAAAAAGAAGTGTATAGAAAGCCATACAAGAGGAGCTCGCAGAGGAGGGGCAAAATTTTCCTTGGGAAATCTTTAAAGGTAAGTATCATAATCTGTTACAAAAGTACAGTATAGTGCCAAACATTTGTGGGTGGGGGGGAAAAGGGGGTTGAAGCATGTCTTTCAAGTTTCGTAAGTAGGGGGCTAGAGTAGTGGTTCCTATATGAAGTCAGTATTTTGTGAACAGATTCATGGAAACCTGTTAACTGGACTCGAGTCCTGGAGGCAGGACATGCGACACCTGCACTCTTAACTCTTTGACTGTTTTGGTCGTACATATTCATCTTACATGCCACTGTTTCAGGCATATTAATACACACAAATTCTAGCGGCTTCAAACCGAGAAAGCTGGTAGGCCCACATGTGAGAGAATGGGTCTCTGTGTTCAGTGTGCACCTCAAAAAAATATTGCAGCATGCAGTACATAATGAGAAAAAAAAATGACTTTTTTTTATTAAAGCACCGACTTTGAGGTGTATTTTCATATGGTATTTATCATGGTATTCTCACTTTCATGGTCTCGTGTGATAAAATGAAAAACATATTACAGAAATAGAGTTGATGATTAGTTTTGATGAAAACGACCTTGAAATTGAGCTTAAAGTAGCGGAAGTGTTCGATTTTTTTACCAATGTTCGGGAGTAAGCAAATCACACCACACGTCCAATACACATCAACTGGGGAGTCTAATATTCTTTCACTAGTGTACTGATATTATTTATACCATTTTTACAAAAATGTAATAGACTGCATAATAGTAAATTTATTTTTTTTAATAAAAAATCAAAATATAAAAAATAGTGATATAAGAGGGTCCTACAAATGTGACTAATGAACAGAGGATGTTATTTTAGTGCAAGAATGTCTACATTGTTTATTCTGCACTATTTTGAAATGGGAGTCTTTTTTTAATTTGCATGAAATTGGCAAATTGCCAATTTCTGATCACTTTATTGGGTAGTTCAAATCAGTAAATGGGCAGTTTCTTGTACTCAACTGATAGAAAAAATGGAGTTCTAAAGAAATAGCTATGACCTTTGTCAACTGGAACAACAGAATTGGCCAAAAACAGGGCTCAGTTGGCGAAATCGCCAATGCGTATATATCACCGAGACCGCTAACTTTGCGGGAGCGTAATTCTGAGTTATTGACCAAATTTTGTACTTTTGGTGTCAATACCATCAGGAAAAGATTCTCTATCATTTCTTAAGAAAATTTTTGTTCTCAAAAATTTTGCGATATAGTTTCAGACAGTCTGAGGATTAAAGAAAGGGGTTTGGGATATTTACTGTTTAGAGTGACATTTAAACTGTCATATCTGCATGCCTCTAGCAAGACAGTGATAATGTGAATGATAGCAAGAGTTTCTTTTTTGGGTCACCCTGCCTTGGTGGGAGACAGCCAGCATGTTAAAAAAAGTGTGGCATGAATATTTTCCAGACAATGGAGTCTAAAAATTTAGAAGATAGTTTAGTGGTTTGAAATATAAAATTTAGAGTGCTATGGAGAAGTTGAAATAGTTTAATCGTTTAGAAACGTTGGAGAAAGTTAAGTTGATAAAGAATTTCTAAATTTAAAGAAACTTTTGTTTTTCTTTTTCGGCCACCCTGCCTCAGTGCGACATAGCCAGTGTGTTGAAAGAAAAAAAAATTGATAGAGAGTATATAAATCTGGCTGTATTAAAGATTGTTTAGAGGACATACTAGCGAAGGTTTCAGGAATAGTATGAAAAGTTTTAAGATGCATGGGTATGATATCTGTGAGCATGTAAGATCAAAGAGAATGGATGGAGACAGAAGCACAAGAGGAACAAGAAACTGTCAAGGATATTGCAAGAAACTACAAATATTTGCACATACAAAATTCTAGTTAAAAACTACCAGTAGAATTGAACCATTAATCACAGAAGGTTCATCACTTGCAGTGAATAAAATATGAATAAAATTTTTGAGACCAATATGATTGTTTTACTGAATTGCTGAACACAGAGTGGAAAATGCAAAAAAATTATAGGTCTCTCAAAGGTCTGAAGAATGCAACCCTATTTTTTTCCAGAATTCTTTCAGTCCATAAGTCCCTGGAATCATTATTAGCAGTTTTCATAAATGTAAAGTGTGTGAATTATGGTCGTCTGCTGTACTGTATGCGTGAAAGCACCTCAGTAGAAGACATGGAAGAATTTCAAGAAATAAACAGTCATTCACTGGACAATGGAAAATAACTTTCAATGGTGAAGTTCCAAATGCTTAGATAAGGAAAACCTGAATTAAGAAAAGGAGCACTGTTTAAAACACAAGATCACCAATTAGAATAAAAGGAACTTGTGAAGGATCCGGGTGTAACGTCAGCCGACCTTTCCTTCAAGAAGACAATAAGGCATTTTTCAAGATAACCAGGAAAATGACACTGTTAATGAGGACTGAGAAAAAATAAGTATGACTGCAGGGGTGAATCAATCTATAGTGGAGGGAAGGTAGGGGTAGGGGTCATCCTATAAGAAGTTGGAGGTTGAGGATAAAGGAAGTCTTGTATGCAAGGAGCTTGAACATCCACCAGGGTGTGTGTGTGTGTGTGTGTGTATGTATGTGTGTGTGTGTGTGTGTGTGTGGTGTGGTGGTGTGTGTGTGTGTGGTGTTAGGAGTGAATCGAGGTAAATGGTTTTTATGTGATGTGTTGGTGTGTGAGCAAGGTAACATTTATGAAGGAATTTAAAAAAACCTATTAGCCCGACTTGAATCCTGGAGGTGGGAAGTAGAGCCTGCACTCTGAAGGAGAGGTGGGGATGTTGCAGTTTGGAAGGGCATCTGAACTGTAATGTTGGTGCATCTCTGGCAAGAATGTGATTGAGTGCTAGTGAAGGTGTTTTTTTTTTTTTGTAAAGTGGCTTCCACATCTCTGAAAGGGGACAGCTGGTGTCAGGTGGCCTCCTACCTCTGTGGGGAGACAGCTGGTGTCAGGTGTCGTACCTCTGTGGGGGACAGCTGGTGTCAGGTGGCTTCCTACCTCTGTGGGGGGACAGCTGGTGTTAAGTGATTCAAAGAATAAAAATTAATAGTAGTAGGAAGCAGATT